GATGGATGGAGAAGTAAATACCGAGAGGAAGAAGTCGAGCATCTGGTCTGCTAGATCTTGCCACCACCAGGAGGCCTGAGCACAGAGCTCCCTCACAGCAGTGAGCACTCCTCATCCACACTCACGCACAGGCCTTGGCCTCTGCCCTCCACTTCCACTAAACAAGCCCAGTGGTCCTGGAGAGATGGCTGGTGTCAAGATGGGACAAAACGGAACACAACCAGCCTAGAAGAGGGACAGCAGAAAGTGAGGGAGTGTACGAGGAATGATGGGGACCCGGCAAAGGTCCAAGAAGCCAGCTGGAAAGGCAGGTCCCACTGCAGGTCGGGGACAACTGAGTATCAAAATAACAATAGCAATGGATTCTAACCTGGTGCGTGACACTGAAGTGCGAGAATCTATAAATCCTTCGGAGATCCATGAGTAAATTACAGGTTTGATGAGAACTGAAATCTTCACATAGTCTCTAAGATCCTCCCAATACTTACGATTTGCAGTGGGAAGCGAGTAGCTTTAGCATGGAGAAGACTTGCTATACCACCTTGATCCAGTGATCAAAGCTAGTATCTCCAGTACAGGAAAATGAAAATCCAGCAAACCCTGTGCCTCGTGGCGGGTGCAAGGAGAACAGCTTCGCATCTGTGATTGTCTTGTCAGAGGCGAGAGCTTCATCAGGAGAAAACATCAGTCATCTCAAATCGAGACTCATTTTACAAAATAACTGGCTTGTACTCATCAGAGTGTCAAAGTCACAGAAAATCAAGGAAAGACGCAGGAATTGTCACAGACTGAAGAAGATTAAATACGTGTGATAACCAAATGCACAGAGTATTTCTAAACTAGACCCTTTTGCTCTCACGGACATTGCTGAAAGGCTGGAGGGACCAGTGGGCTGGCCGCAGGGGCCCAGGAGGGTCCCGGGTTTTGGTGGCTGTGCTGCACTTGTGCAGGGAAACGCAGTGGAGCCCTGTGTCTGCAACCTGCCCTCAAGCAGGTATCTTCGTAGTGTTTTTAGACATTTTTTTGGAAGATTAAGGTTGTTTCAAGAAAAATAATGTAAAGGGAAAGTGTAGGGGAGGGACCCCACACAATCCCCACCACCCTGCACGTGTCCAGCAGCCTCCCCAGACTCCCCAGTGACCTGGAGACGCGGCTTGTTCTTTAGGTGCCCGGAATAGGCTGTGAGTTTCCTTTTGGGAACTTAAACTGCATCAGTGACTTTAGGGCGTGTAGAAGGGGGGCGAGCCCTCCTCTCCCTCCCAAAGGCACACAAGGTGGGGTGGTGGGGATGGCGGGCACAGGGCTGCTCGTGAGGGCAGATGTCTGGGGGTTCTCTTTTTTTCCCTGCTTTGCAGCCTGGTGACCCCACAGAGGGTGAGCTCCAGCTCGCTGTCCTCTGGCTGCTTCTTGGCTCCAGCCAGGGGGGGTGGGGCTGATGGGCAGTGGGAGGAGGACTGGCTGCGGGGCTCTGCCCACTCCAGAGGTGGGTGCTGCGGCCTTGGCAGTAGCTCCCTCTCCTGCCGGCCTCCAGCCCTCCGGGCTGCACCCCTGCTCTCCCCTGGCTCCCTCAGACCTGGGGGAGCTCAGGAGTGTTTTCAGAACACCCTTTCTACAATAAAAGGCACAGGCTGAGCCAGACGAAGGCCTTAAGAAAGACGCTAAAGGCTCTGCACCAAAGCCTTCCTTTCCTGAGAAAGGTGGCTTCCAGTGAAGAGGATCAGCAGTCGATTGGCTTTGCCTTAGGGTCAGCCATGCGGGGAAGAAACCCTGAAGACACACCTCTCCCTGCCTCCCGCTGTGGGGGGAGGTGAGTCCTGCCCTGACACCTGGCTCCATCTGGGCCCTGAATAGGAGCACGGGCCACAGGGGCTCCTGCTCAGCTGAGGCCTCAAGGGTCACCTTGTGGTCTTGCCATCTTCCTTTTCCCTCGGCCTGAGACCAGCACTGTGCAGGAGTTAGGGTGATCTTCAGCTTGGGCCACAGAATGAGGAAGACCCAGAGCACAGCTGAGCCAGTCCGCTGTGTTACCTGAGCCAGAAGTGACCATGCTACCATGAGCCACTGAGAGTGCGTGTGGTCATGCAGCTTGGCCTGGCTTGAGCTGACCAAAACAAAGGCCTTTCCTCTGTGTTACAAAAGAAGTTATGGATGAAAAAGACTACACTTAGGACCACCTTTTAAACAGATGGACCCTGGTACCCTCCTCCCTGCAATGTGCCCGGCCTTTCCCACCTGGCAAGGGCAGGATCTATCCACACACTAGCAAGAAAGCTCAAGGTCAAAGATAGGCACGTGGCTAAAAGTCTTGTGAAGAAAGCCAGCATTCTAGAAGATCCCTCACTTGAAGTCAGAGGAGCTGTCTGGGTCATTTTCACCTGCGGATGAGCCGGTCTTCAGCAGTGGGGCCAGCGCTGAGGTCCACGGACGGCGAGCCTGGTGCTCATGGTGTCCATCAGCACCACTGTGTTTCCACAAGGATCATCAGGGTCTTAGCGTGATCTGGGGACTACCCCTTCATTTTGATGTAGCTGCCTCTAAGCCTAATTCTCCTGTAATTCCTATTATTTTCAGAGTGTGATTTTGAAGAATGCAAAGTTTTTCAGAAATGCACGTGGTGTCATCCTGGAATGTCTATTGTAATGGCTCACAGTGCCATGTTCGAATTCAGACCAAAAGCCCTCCCTCCCCAATCCTCCCACAGGCTCAGGGCTGGGGGGAGGAGTGGGCAGTACGGGGAGCTGGGGTTTGGACAGTAGAGCCTCCTACCCACTCCCCACCTTCTGGCAAGGTTACCTGATGAGGTCCTTCTTGGAGCCCTGGTCCTCCTCTCTGATATAGGAGGGGGAGGAGCTAGAATGATGTGGCTGTGGCAGAACCGGCAGCCAATGGCTTTTCCTCCTGAACAGTCTAACAAGGCAAGGAGCCTGCATTTCCCTGCTTGCCCTGCATGGTGGGCAGCGCTATGACTAGTGCTTGCCCCAACAGAACGGACATGGTCCCTCTGGGGCAGTTTAAGGAAGCTGCTATGCCTCTTGCCTGGCACACCTGCTCTGTTGGCTGCTGGCAGAAGGTGCCCAGCCCTGGGGCATGCAAAGCCACCACGGAGACAGGCAGAAGACTGGGAACCTGGGTCTGGCTCAAAACCTGCTGGGTGGGCAAGAGGGAAACTGCTGTTGATGTGGGCCTCACACACATTCAGTCCATGTTGTGTGGCAGTTTAGTTTATTAAGACAGAATCCACCCAACACCACAGAACCAGGGATACGAGCTTGCCCTCGTGGAGATAAGCTTTAAATCAATACATCCTAGACCACAGCAGAGATTTTAGGACCCCCTTAAGAAAAAAGAGCAATTTCCAGACCTCCTGACTTCCCTGGAGCTGGGGGAATTTTGGAGTAGGAATGGGAAAGAAGAGAGGAGCAGGGTTGGTGTGGTTGACTGAGGAGGTGCAGAAGAACTAAGTAGAACCAGGGCCAGCTCCTTCTGGAAACGCACCTGAGAACAGGAGAGCTCTCTCCGCAAACTCAGCAGCCAAGGGTGCCAAGGAGGCTGCTCCCAAGGACCACACTTCCCAACAGAACCACTTCTGCAGATGCCAGCCCCCCCCCCCCGGAATCTCCAGAGTGTGTGCTTGCCTGGCATGCACAAGGCCTGGGCTCCATCCCTAGCCTCACCCCAATCGAAACAAGTCAGAATATCCAGAGATGGGGCTAACACCAGAGAATATTCCAGAATTTCTGCACGTGATAAGAGGTCTAGTCACACTGGCACAGAGGACAAGGTTTCCTTGAAGGGAACCAACCTGTCCTATTCTGATTCCATGACCAGTCAGCCACTGAGGGCACGGTGGCCCCAGGTGAGATGGACCTGGGTCAGGTGGACAAAAAGAACCATCTGCTGGACGGATGTGAGCAGCAAGCCAAAGCTACATATGACCTGTGGGGACATCTCTAAGCAGCCTAGGGCCGTCCTTGGGTGAGGGTGACGTGCACAGCCAACATTGTCATATGCCTTAATATTTGAAACCGCAAGGGAGGATTGTGTGAAAACTGACTCAAGTGCCAAACAAGGGCCAGTTGGGTGGCTTTTGACTCTTCTGCAGCACCTTGAGTCTCTGAACTGTCCATGAACACCGTGAAGTGGGAACGGGTGCCAGTCAGCCTAAGGAGACCGTACTGGGGGTGATTTTGACAGTGAGAACCTACAACGACCTAAATTCCACTGAGTTTCTAGACTGAGATAAGTTCACCTCCACTGCATCAAGGTGCAGCCTGGAGGTCGCCTCCTCTTTGAAGAACCCAGACTGCCTCGGGCTGCTGTCTGCCCCACCACGTCCTGTGGGTCTCTCCCTCAGGTAATGGTGTTGCTGGGTCACTTCCTCCACCAGAGCCTCGCTCCTACCTAAGGGTGTCCTGGGGACCAAGAGGACAGGCATACAGTAGGTGCCTACAAAACACCTGCTGTAGTGCTGACGTGATGGGTCTGATTTCCTGATTCTCTTCCTCACTTGGGTCATCCAGACAAGACGTCGTCGACATTTGCTTAACAGTAAACTGCGCTTGGATGAGAATAGCCATGGGGTGGCCCCAGGCAGCAGGCAGGGCGGTTGGCCGGGGGGCCGAGGCTGAGGCGTTGGCAAGCCTCCACCAGGCGCACCATGTGGGCTGGGAGGCAGAAGTGGGCTCGCCACTCCTTCTGGGAGCCACCAAGAGAGGAGCCACGGGGACGGGGCCCCTGTACCATCCGTGAGCTCGTGGGTGTTCATTTTAGACCAATTCAGTTAACTTACTGACAAGTGGGGCACACCGTCCTATCAGAGAGGACCCACAAAGGAGGCCCGCCCTTCCCAACAGGCTCCCAGTCACGCTGCGGGGACTCCAGGGAAGCAGGAGCTGGGAGGGCTGGGCGCCCCAGGGGTTCCTACTCCAGGCCAGCTGAGGCTGGGCAGCTGGAGGCTGAAGGCCAGTTGGCGTGTGCCCGGGAGTGAGGTGAACAATGGAGTCCTTCGCGTACTCATTTATTCTTTCACTCTTTCAGCAAAAACGCACTAAGCACAACCCTCTGTGGGGTGCTCCTCTGGGTGCTGGGCTCCCTTGCAGGGCTGGCATGGCGTCCTCGGGCAGTTCTGAGCAGGGCTGCCCACATGCAGTGCACGCCTGCGGGAGCTCCCGCCAGCTTCAGCCGCTGGAGGCTGTGGCCTGGTCCAGGTCTAGGGGCAGACCCTGAACTAGGTGTGGCCGTGGGCAGGGGTCATTTTTCAGGGGAGTGGGTTGGCGGGTTGGTCAGAGGTGGGATTCCTTCAGCCAGGCCAGCCAGGCCCCCAGAAGCAAGCATGGGGAAGAAGTGCTCCCACCACTGCCTGGGCTGGAGGACAGAGCTGGGCCTGGAGAGAAGGAGGCCAAGAAGCAGGAGGCTGCGCCCCGACACTCCCTGCACCCAGCTGCAGCGGCCTGTCACCGTCCAGCACGATCAGGGGATTCACGCCCTGAGCTCCTCTGGTCTTCGTGCCTGTAGTCGTCTTCCTCTTCCCTCCCTCTGGGAAGCTCTCTCAGTTGCTCTGATGGCTCCTGGTAAGCCGCCCGGTTCCTGCAGGCAGTGATGACAGAGGGGAAAGGTCCCTCACCTGGGCACCGGGAAGCTGGGCTCCTGCAGACTATGGGAAGAGCAGCCTTCACCCCGCCACCCCACCGCCACTGCAAAGGGACCTGCATGGAGGGTCAGGCAGGGAGTGGGCAGGAAGGTGCCACAGACCTGACCTGCAGGCACTAGGGAGCAGCACAGGGACCCGCCCAGGCCCGGCCCCGGCCAAGCACAGACCACAGAAGCCAGCCCTGGGACTGTTGGGTGAGTTGCTCTTTTCTCAGCAACAAAATAGGGGTGCCAACATAGTAGGTTCCCCAGAGGGGGTGGACGTGCCTGTGAGGAGTGGGCTGCCTAGGCCCCCCATGGCTGTGCCCCACACTCACGGCCTCGTGTCCTCCCGGTCCACCTCCTTGTCATCCTTTTCCCGGAAGCAGCAGCAGTAAATGATGATGCCGATGATGAGGAGGGCTGCCACCACGCCCCCAGCAATGCCCGCATACAGGGCCACGTTCATGGAGGCTGCAACAGGTCAGAGCAGCTCACTCCCCAGCCCCTGACGTGGCTCGTGCCAGGGGGCAGCGGGCAGTGCAGGGGGCTGGGGCAGGTCCCTCCCAGCCTCTGGGCCTGTGGCACTGTTGGCTTCTGGCCACACCCCTCCAAAGATACAGTCTACAGGACCGTGACCAGTCAGGCCAGGGACACTCCTCAGGTTAGGGAAGGGACAGATTGGTCCCTGGTTCTGTACCTCAACACCCTGGGTCACCCAAGCTCTGAGACCTCAGGTGTTAGTCCCGCCAGCTCCTAGCTCATGCTAGAGCTAGACCTGGCGTCTAGCTAAAAAAAAAAGATGGGCCCGGGCCATGGCAGCTGTCTCTGGGTACAGCCCCATGATCACTGAGTGACCCTTGGGGCAGAGGACTGGGACCCTCCAGAAGGCCAGGTGCTGAAGTCTCAGGCTCCACTTCCAAAGATCCAGTGGAACTAGACTGGCCCCCAGGTGAGGGCAGGCCTGGGACAGGAGGCATCTTGCCCAGGTCCCCATGCTGCCCTGCCAGTGAGTGGCCCTAAGGGAGTCCCAGTTCATCTCCCTGGGGCTCAGCTGAGTTGGGACCACGGCCAGCCACCCGCCCCACGGCTCTCACGGGGTCTGACAGCCACGGTGATGTTGCAGAAGTCCGTCCCCACTTCGTTGCTGGAGGTGCAGATGTAGTAGCCCGACATGTCTGTGGAGATGTTCTTCAGAAAGACGGTCTGGCCGGAGACTGAGGGGACAGCAGAGGGTGAGGCCGGAGCAGGCAGGGCCCACGGACGGAGCCGCAGCAGCCGCTTGCTCTGGGCAGGGGAATCTCCACCTCCGTGGCCGGAGCCCAAGCCCACGGTGGCTCAGTGGCGCGCGGCTGGTTAGCCCTGCGTCCTCGGCAGGTCCCCTGGCTCCCCTGAGCCTGTTTCCCCACCATGGTCAGAGCTGGCCACACCTGCCCCGCAGCTCGAGGGCAGGACATGAGGTGCTGCTGGTGAACGTGGCCTGGTGTGGCCTGAGGGCTCCAGGGAAGCACCGGAGCGGGGCTCGGAGGGTGCTTCACGGCTGGAAGGCTGCTCACCACCCGAGACCTAGCTCGGAAGGCCAGGCGCTGAGCACAGGTGTCTGCCCCGAGGGTGTGCGCCTGCGCTGGGGGGAGTGCAGTGTGGGGGTGCGGTGTGGGTGTGTGGGAGGGTGGGGTGGGGGTGTGGGTGTGGGTGTGTGGGAGGGTGGGGTGTGGGGTGAGGGTGTAGGGTGTGGGTGTGGGTGTGGGGTGTGTGGGAGGGTGGGGTGGGGGTGTGGGTATGGGTGTGTGGGAGGGTGGGGTGTGGGGTGAGGGTGTAGGGTGTGGGTGTGGGTGTGGGGTGTATGGGAGGGTGGGAGGGTGGGGTGAGGGTGTAGGGTGTGGGTGTGGGTGTGGGGTGTGTGGGAGGGTGGGGTTAGGGTGTAGGGTGTGGGTGTGGGTATGGGTGTGTGGGAGGGTGGGGTGTGGGGGTGTGGGGCATGGGAGCGTGGGGTGTGGGGTGTGTGGGGTGTGGGGGAGGATGGGGTAGGGGTATGGAGTGTGGTGTGGGGTGTGGGTGTGTGGGGGTGTGGGTGTGTGGGGGTGTGGGATGGTGGGGTGTGGGGGGGTGTAGGGGTGTGTGGGTGTGGGGGTATGGGTGTGGGGTGTGGGGGTGTGGGTGTGAGGTGAGGGTGTGGGCATGTGGGGTGGGTGTGTGGGTATGTGGGGTGTGTGGGTGTGTGGGTGTGTAGGGGTGTGGGGGTGTGGGTGTGAGGTGAGGGTGAGGGTGTGGGGGTGTGGGTGTGAGGTGAGGGTGTGGGCATGTGGGGTGGGTGTGTGAGTATGTGGGGTGTGCGGTGTGTGGGTGTGGGGGTGTGTAGGGGTGTGGAGGTGTGGGGGTAGGGTAGGGGTGTCGGGGTATGGGGTGTGGGCGTGTGGTGTGGGCTGGGGAGGAGGCAGGCTCTGGCTAGGCTCTCTTACCCCCATGGCTCCAGGGAGCCAGCCTCTCTGAGCCTCAGCTGGGAAGTGGAGTGAAGACACCACCCTGAGTGAGGGAGCAGCGGCAGCCCCAGGGAGGAGCTGGAGACCCGGCCTCCTTGTTGACTGCAGAGCCAGCCTCCACACCTGCTGCCACCTGCTGGTCACATGCCCTCCTGGGCCCTTGTCCTGCCCTCGCTGATCCAGAGCTGCCCCTAACCTTCAGCAACAAGTCCAGCTCCTCTCCTGGTGACAAGTTATAGGCCTGGCCTGTCCATCACGTGGCTTAGTCTCCTGCCCCTTCCCCAGGGGGAAGCCCCGCCTGGCAGCCTCTGGTCTCTCCCCAGCAGCCTTTCCTGTCTGGATGTGCCACGCAGTGCACAGAACCCTCCACGTGCTCAGCCCTCCAACAATCTCGTGCGGTGGGTGGAACAAGGGCGCCCATCTCCAGGTCCTGGACACAAAAGTCCTGTTCAGGTCTCGAACTCCCTGGAGAACACCACAACTGTCCTTCAAAGATCACACGATGAAAGCAACGCACGCCCATTATGAGGATGTGCAGGGGACCCAAAGATGTCCCCCCAGTTGGTTTAACCTGGAGCCTATAAGCTGACCACAGCTAAGGACCACCAAAGAGGGCCCTTGTCCTTTGGCCTGTTCAGTCCACAGAGGAGAAAACACAGAACAAAATCCCAATGGCGCTGCTGGAGCCAAGAGCGAGAGGTTTCGTCTGTTCTGAAGGCTCGGAGGAAGCCTTGCAGGAGTGGATGCCACCAGACCCCGTACCTCACCACATGGCCTAGGGCTGCTTTCCTTCGACCTTTTCACAAATGCAGTACTTTCTTCTAATTCCTCCCTGCTCACCGGGGCACTGACCCCTGGATTCTCTCAGAGGCTGTCCTTTCTGCCCTGGAATCCCACCTGCGTGTTCCAGAATAACACTTCTGCTCCTGGCAAGGGGGTCCATGGGCGAAGCCAGCTTAGGTGTCTCTGGGCAGGCGTTAATGCGCTCCCCAAGGCACAGCTCTCCGTGTCCCCAGGTGCTAGCCAGCCCTGGGAATCTCTGATAAGGGTTTATGGCACCAGTGGTCCCATTTCCTCAGTGCACTGGATCTTGTTAAGAGGGGAACACGCTGTGGGGAGGAACACGCTGTGGGAAGTGCTTGCAGACCCTGGGTAAGCTTAGACCTGAAGCTTGACAAGGTGACACTCCGTCTAAGGCCAGGCACACTCAGCGCCCTGCAGATGGTACCTGGCGGATGGGGCAGCGTGGGGCACAGCTGCTCTGAGCCGGGCACACCACTCTGTGGGTCGGCCTTTGTGAAGGAGCTGGGGCTCCAAGCTGCCTTGTAAAGGGACTGATCAGTTCTGAAATCCAGGGAAACTGCCATTTCTGCTGCAGTGGTGACACCTTGTGGCTAAGGGGTACACAAAGGGGACAGCCATTGCCTCCCACCTTCACTTGGTTGCTGCTGTGAGAAGTTCCCCTCCCAGAAGCCCTGGTCCCCCCAGACACGAATGTCGGGTTATCAAGGCCTGACTTTTCTGCCCATCCCCTGCCACTATGGCTTGTCCATGAGCTCTGGCTGCCACCGCTCACCCTGGGGGTTCAGGATCCTCCTGACCCACCCCTGCCCTTTACCACCGCCTTCCCTAAAGTATTCCAGCCTCCTTCCCTGATATCCGAATCCTCTTCCTTCCAGTATGTGGAACTCAGCTGACCGGCATGGGCTACAAAGTGTGCTCAGAGGTCTCCCCTGGGTGAGCTCCTCCAGCCCTGCCCACAGCCTCCCAGGAAGGTGACTAGGCTCCTCCTGGTTTTGTTGTTTCTCAGATAAAGATAGTAAGGGCAGAGAGGCTGCAAGACACTCGCAGCTACAGGAGGAGAAATCCTGGCTTCCTGGTTGCAGATCCCTGTTCCTTTCTCTGATAGTTTGTTTCCACTGAGCGCCAAGTCAGAAGGGACCGATCTCTGATGTCGGACATTCTGTCTGCGAATGCAGGAGGTCGGAGGGGCCATGCCACCATGGTGGGCTGCAGTGTTTTAAAAGTCAGAAGAGGTTTCGGACCGACACGCAGAGGAAGAAGATGGGGACAGGTTCCGGGCCCGTGGCAGGTGGGGTGGGAGAGCCTCTCCTCAGGACCTCAACTTGAATCTGGCACTGGTGGGGCCATGCACAGCCCTGCCTGTCCCCCAAGGTCCCCATTCTGACTGAGGCAGGACAAAGCTGCTCCCTCCAACCTCCTGCCTTGCTCTCAGACCCCCCCCACCCCCCCAGGGATCACCTGAGAACTAAGCTTTGGCTCCTGGTCACAGAGAGGTCTCTCCTGGGAGAGGCAGAAGGGCTGGGACCTGGTGCCCTGTGAGGCTCCCAGAAGGTGCTGAGGCCCACGGCAGAGGCCGGCCTCCCTGAGGGACCCTTCAGGCCCTTTCATCCCTGTCCTCAGGAGGGTGCAGCACTGGGTGAGCGGCGGGCAGCTGGTGCGCTCATGCAGGACTTTCCACACGGGCCGGCGCCAGGCGAAGGCAGTATAATATTTGTAGAACTCTTTTTCCCTCCTAGCTTCTCTCTGGACTTAAAGGTCAAATACCAGCTGCCCGGCACAGAACTGGTCTCCTGGCAACAGGAGCCAAACCTCCCGCCTCCTTCCTTGTGGCCCATGTGGTGAGACTGGGGGCAGGGCCATAAACGGGTGGTGACTTTGCAGAGGAGGGGGTGGTGAGCCTGGGTGGACTGGGATGGGATTCAGATAGGAGGTAGGACTAGGACATTCCCCTCTTGGGTGCAGCCACAAGCTTAGACTCAGGGCCTCAAATGTACACTTTAGGTCATAATTAAAATCCCACCAGTGCCTCTGCGCAGAGTGGCCGTCAGTTTGTGCTTTCACAGGAGAAGAATAGGATGGGGAACGAGGAAACTGAGACAGCACTTATCACATGCTTCTGCTAAGTGATTCTGCTGAGTGCTTCTGCTGAGTGCTTCTGCTAAGTGCTTCCCGTGAATCATTTTCATTTCTCACAAATACCTGCCAGGTAGGCCTTATGAGATACCAGTGCTTGAATGGAAGGCCCCAGAATCACAAGCGCCCAGTGGAGGAGCAGCCCTCCAGGGCATCTCACTGGTCAGCCCTGCCTCCTGGCCGCCCTCGCCTCCCCCGCTGTCCCTCACCTGGCGGGACCAGTGGCCGCTCCTGGTTCTGGGTGTTGTAGCTCTTCCAGCTGTACTGCGGGGCCGGGGAGCCCTCTGCTGACTGGCAGGTCAGCTGGATGTTGTTCCCAATCACTGTCTCTCCCTCAATGCTGCAGTCCGGCTTGGAGGGTGGCACTGGGAAGGAGAAGGAGCACGTTGGATGGGGTGGGCCGCCACCTGCCTCCCCAACACGCATCCACGCACAGACCACCGTGTTCGTTCCCAGGCCGAGGAATCTGCGCTCGGTGGCGAGATGGAACGCTGGGAGATCACTTCACTTCAAAGTATGGGCTCCTGCTGTCGCCCGCCGAGAGGCAGCACGTACGTGGCCAGCATGGCGTCCGGCAGGGGCGCCGCAGCTTGGTTCCTGTGCTCTCTACTTCAGAGTACGGGATTTTGAAGGCAGTCCAATGTGGCCATCATAAAGATGGGGAACTGAGGCCCAGAGGGGACACCTCTCATGGGTGCTGGCGAGCTGGGATAGCTCCCAGTTCTCCTGACTGCAGACCCAGCGCCCACTGCACACCCTCAGGTCCCCCACCTTCCTATCTGCAAAATTAGGGACATCACACCTCTCCGTAGAGGGCCAGAGGCGATGCTTTGACATCTGTGGACTGCGTTACTGCGACTGCTTTTTAAATAACGCTTTAGACCTGTGGAAACAGGCAGTGGCCTGGACCTGGTGTTGGCCACCCCTCGGTCAAAGGCTCTCGAGAGCCCTTCAGCTCTGACCTCTCAGTGACGTTCTCTGGTTTTGCTTTGGCCCCTTCCCGCATTGTGCTCAGAAAACACATCACTGCCCTGGCATGGCAGGAGGGGCCCTGGGCAGCCCCAGAGGTGTCCACTGAGACCAAAGGGACACAGGGGCAGGGAGAGGTTGCAAACCCACAGGCCACCAACTACCCACATCCTCAGCTACCCACAGCCTCCCTGGGGCCTGGAGCCTTTCCCCCAGCGGCCTTCACAGGCCACGGTGTAGGGTGCGTCAGCAGGCCTGCCTTACTGGGCACTGTCATGCCGAAAGTGCTGGACACTGCACCAGGGAACCCCGGGGGCAAAGGACAAGCAGTCTCACTGCCTCCAGGCAGACAGCCAGGCCCACTCACACACGGCTGGGACATGAAGGAGAGTGGGGGTACAGGAGGCGACAGTGGAGCTGGGTGGGCCAGAGGAGAGGCGGGGCACTCCAGGCCAGGCCGACTGAAGGCTCTGTGTGCGAAGGCTCGGAGCTTGCTGGAGGGTGGGGGAGAGCACATTCACACGCCCCCTGGGATGGCTTGCTTGCCGTTGAACAATGCCACCACTTCTGCCATCCAGGTGCACAGTCACTGAGCATTGATTGTCATCCCAATCTGGGCCCCACCCGGAAGTTACGGGGAACAGCTGTCCAGGACACACCTTCCTGCCCTGGCCAGCAGCTGCAGTGCTCTCTGAAAACAGGTGGGTTGCTGGGTGTGTCCAACATCCCTAGCTGCCAGGGAGCCAGCCAGGCGTGAGGAGGAGGGATAACACATCAGACGCACTTGCTCATTGCTGCTCCCAGGAGGACAGTCCCTAAACCTAAGGGGCAGAGGATCCAATCCAGTCCTCCTATACGCCAGCCCAGTTCCCCAGGATTGCAGCAGCATGAACCCAGGGAGGCTGCCCCCGAAGACCATGAACCAGCTGCCTTCTTGCCCACTTTGGGGATGAGAGGTCCCTGGGGGACAAGAGGAAGTGACATTTCCAAGGAACCAGGACAGGCCTGCTGCTCCACGTCTTCTCTCTTGAGCTCCAGGGGGGGTACAGAACAGGGCTCTCTGCTGCCCGACCTTTCCCTCTTGTTCCCAGGCAGCCTTCACCAGGAGGCGCGGCCCTCAGGCCACAGGGGAGCCGGCAGGAGCCCCAACACCTGGAGGAGCCCCAGCCGGGCAGAGTCCCACCAAGTCCCACCAAGTGTGGGGCTGCACCTGGAGCCCTGCTAGGTCAGGTAGCTCCGTGAACCGCTACAAAGGGGAAGGGGAGTAACCAAGGCCAACTGCATCTCCAGAGGCATTAAGGTGGGGGGGCGGTGATGATGATGATGATTCTGGAGCATTCGAAGACCAGCGTGATGGGCAAAGCCTGGAAATCACATCCTGAATTCTCTCAGGAGCCCAATTTGAGATGATGGCAAGAAGGCAGCAGCCAGCCCCAGGAGGTGAGCTTTCCACAGCGCCCTGGCCTCTGCAGGCCACCCCTGCCCTCACTGGGCTCCCACCAGAAGCAGGGCGACCTCCACTGAGCAACACGGGCGCCGGTTCTGCCTCCCGGGCCACCCCTGGGAAGCGGGACGCCTCGCCCCCGCGGCAGACGCCAGGGGGCGCCAGAGGCCGCGCGGGCGCTGCGCACCTGCTCCAAGATACAGGGACCCACAGCAGGCCACCGCGCAGCCGGCAGTCTCCGCCGAACAGCGGCCCTGCGGAAGAAAACTTCCTAGAATTGTTCGTAGCATGTAGGGCAAAGTGATCTCTTTCTTTTTAAAAGCAAAACATTGATTTCACAGAGTGATGTGATTTCAGATTGAACTTGTGTCCTTCACCCTCAGGCTGGCTCTTGACACGGAGTGAAAGGACCTGGGGCTGTTTAAACTGACCCCAACATATATATCTCCGTGTGTGCGCACCGGGGTCATATGACAGCATTGTCCCTGTGGGGGAAATGGCAACCGCCTTGATATGCACCATAGGAAACAGTTGAATAATCATGATACATCCAGGTGGCAGAGTTTACGCCGCGACTGGGTGGGTCTATCTGAGTTGATCAGGAGAAATGTGCATGAAGAATAAAGAAAAATCAAGTTGCAGAATGATCTTTATATTACTGTCCTGCTTTGGAAGGAGCCTGAGGGAGCAGGAGGACCTTCTTGCCTTGCCCGGGCGGCCCACAGAGGAGGGTGGAGGTGGTCTTTGCGGTTGTCTATACAGCACTAGCTTGTGTGGCTATGCAGTCTGGCTCCCTGAAATGCTTTCAAGCAGTCAAGCATCCCCTTACGCAATTAGAAATAAAACACTGCCAGGTGCCGTGAAGGGGAAAGAAACAGAACAAGGTTTGACGAGTTGCTGCCTCCCAGGGTAGGGCTGCTCCTTACAGTGGGCCTACGTGGCGCCCACTGAGGTTTTTCCAATACTCGCTTTAAGAAGTCGCTTTCTTCCTCTCCGTCTCATCTTAAAACCGAGGATATTGAAGTAGATGATCTCTGGGGCCCTTCCAAAACCATACATTCCAACAAGTCACTTGTCTAAGAAGAATGTTGTCTCAGAACGTCTTCCAAAGTAGCGGAGGGGCTGAGGCTGGGGCTCAGCGGCCGAGCGCTTGCCTAGCGTGTGTGAGGCCCTGGGTTCCACCCCAGCACCACAGAAAACAAACAAAACCCAAAGGTAGCGGAGCCTGAGAGTGGTGTCCGTGGGAGGGCTGGCGTGGGAGGGTGGCGTGGGCTCTTCCTCTGGGAGCCGCCCTAGGACAGGGAGAGGCGCGCTACCTCAGTCACCACGTGGCCCCGAGAGTCCCAGGTTGAGGCACAACAGGACTTGGGGCTTCCCTTTTTCTTCTCTTTCCTGAGTTTGTCATGGAAAGGGAGGAGTTGGTGTGGGGAGAAGAGCTCCGGGTGGGACACTCCAGACCCTCCTTCTCTGGTCTCTGGAACAGTCTGCCATTTGTGGAGAACTCAGGCAGCCCACATTTCAAAGGGGGAGCAGTGGGCCCTGCCCTGGGACAGGCTGGCAGGCCACTGCTGCCTGTCGTCTTACCTGGGGAACCTACCAAGTACCTGACCACCAAGTACCTTGCGTCATCACTGGGCAACTTGCTTACCTTACCACAGGTACGTTACCACCAAGTACCTTGCCACCAAGTACCCTGCCTTATCACCAAGTACCTTACCACCAGGTGCTTTTACTGGCCCCAGCCTCTTCCCACCACCCAGGAGAGAGACGCAGCACTCACCAAGGACCAGCAGGCGGACGCGTGACTTGGAGGTGCCCACCATGTCTGACAGCAGCGAGACGGAGCACTCGTAGGTGCCGTTGTCATCCATGGTCAGCTGGTCGATGGTGATGGAGGCGTCCGACTGCCCAACATTGCTTGATACGTTGACGCGATTCTCATAAAGCTCGCCGTAGATATAGCTTTGGGTCTTAAATGTCCAGATGACCACTCTTTCCTGAGAGGAATAAGAAATGCCACTTGGTCCTCTCCCCCAAGGCCCTGACCTGGGCCTGTCCTTGGTGGCCCTTATTGGCTACCCTGAGACCCCAGAGGCACAGATGCAGGCCCCTTGGACCAGAGCCAGCGCAGGTGCCCATGGGTGGTGCCTTCTGCTCCGTCCCTCTAGGAGGTCTTAGGATTCACCTTAAGTGGAAGGACCGGGACCCTGGGAAAGGGCAGGGCAGTTCAGCCCCCGGGGGCACTCGTGTGGGCAGCGGGCTTTCTGGGATCCCTCGGGCCTCTCTTGCTGATCACCCGCCCCTTGTCTCCTCCCATTCAGTCAGACAGCCCGTGCTTACCGAGCACCTGCCGCGTGCAACCACCCAGGGCTTCCAACTCACTTTCTTTTCTGTTTTCTTTTACTTTATTTTTATTTTTTTTGATACTGAGGATTGAACCCAGGGGCACTCAACCCCTGAGCCACATCCCCAGCCCTTGTTATTCAGAGACAGGGTCTCACTGCGTTGCTTAGGGCCTTCCTAAGCAGCTGAGGCTGGCTTTGAACTCGGGACTCCTGCCTCACCACTGAGCTGCTGGGGGGACAGCGTGCAGCACAGCCCAGCTCCCTTTATTTTCTTGACTCCTGGCTTTGGAAGTCATTTATTTGCTGATAACTGATTCTGGGCCTAACAGCACATGGCGGACCTGAACCTGGACATTCCAGCCAGGCTGCTTGTCTTCTAACCCCAGTTCTGCCACTCACTGCTGGGGTGACCTTGAGCATGTGCTTGACCTCTCTGTGACCCCATTTCCTCTTGTGCCTGCCTTAGAGAGCTGCAGCGAAGGCACAGCAGGTAGCTCAGGCAAGGCAGCCAGACGCGCGTGCGGCCTGGCTGAGCCTCTGCTTGGCTCCTGGCCCTCGGGGGTGGGTAACTCGGGGGCTCTTCCCCAAGAGTGATGGGCTGGCGGGCAGCCACACTTGGCAACCTCTAAGGCCAGCGCTGGGACTGCCCAAGACAGGCATCACTTCTAGGCGTGGAGGTCGGGGGCCTCCTAAGAGAGGGGCTAGGAATCCTGAAAAATAGCAAAGAACTAGCCAGCGGAGGGCTGGGGCTGGGGCTGGCTGTGCCGGGAGGAGCCCGTGGACGTCGGGGCAAACGGACCAGTCGGTGGTCAGTGTGAAGGAGCTGGAGGGAGGCTGGCAGGGAGGGGGCGGGGGAGGCCAGTGGCGGCTGCTCCTTGGGCAGTGCCTGCCACGCGTTGGCTGCGTCCCGGCAGTTGGCGTGTGTCAGCTCACACCCCACGCGGTGGATCTCAGGATTCCAGCTGCATCCCGTGAGGCAGAGCGCACCCCGAGGTCTGGCCTCTTCCCAGGCCGCGTGGCCCAGGAAGCGGCAGAGCTGGGGCTCCAGCTGGGCACCTGGCTCTGGACCTGAGCTCTGGAGCCCTGGGGGAGGCCTGCGCAGGGCTGAAGAGTTTGCATCTTACCTTGAAGGCCCTAGAGTCTCAGATTTTAGGAAGTTGGTCCTCAAAGTGGGGTACAGAATGAATTGGGAGGGGAAAGGGGATCCACCAAGAAAACAGTCCCACAACTCAGGTGGAAGGCGCTGGCCCCAGACCAGGTCGTGGTGGGACACTCGGGTGACGGGCTGGAGCGTGGAAGAGGCAGGCCCCAGGGTTGGAGAGGGTTTAGAATCAGGGCACGGCAGCCCAAAGAGGAAAGGCGAGGAAGGGGTGCTGTCTGTCGGAAGAACTGCTGGCTCCGTTTCCACAGGGGCTGCCTGGCGTGTCCGAGGATGACCCGGAAGAGCAGGCGAGCACAGCTGGGTGAGGGTTTGGGGGCAGTGACAGGCAGGTCTTCTCCGACCCGCAGGCTAGATAAAGCCACCAGTGAAGGAGTGGAGAAGTGGCAAGCCTGGTGGTGTCACTCAAAGGGACCGGGGGGGGGGGGCTTGGAGAGAGCCAGGGCGAGACCGCCCGGGTGCTGGGGGGCCTCTGGGTCCCAAAGGCTCGTAGTGGAAACACGGGCGAGCTCAGTCGACTGTGGGGGTGAAAGCAAGCCACGGGGGCAGAGGAGCACGTGCAGACAGTGCCACCATACCAGGGGGACCAGGGGACCAGGGTGTGGAGCCGTGCAGATAGAACAGGGGTGAGGTGGGAGCAGGTTCTCAATGGACACGTTTTATAAAGTTCTGACTTTTGAACCAGGGGTTTATATCATCTATTTATAAGTAGAAGGAGAAAATAAAACAGAACTCCTGCAAACTCTCCAAAAGAAGCCCCAGGAGGCAGGGAGGGCCCCATCAAATGACCTGGCCTTAGAATGAGGAGTCTGCTAATCAAAGAGAGGACTGACTCTAGTGGAACAATCAGGTCATTCAAGACTGGCCAGTGGAGAGATCTGGGGACAGGTGACTTCAAAAATGAAGATGATGTACTCCAGTGGTCCTTCACCTGACACACCTGCTCCTGCCCAGCCCACCCCACAGGTGCAGTTGATTCTGCGGATGGTATCAGAAGACCTTGTATTGCTGGCCTTCCGAGGGGTCACGGTCAGGTGATACCCATCCCCGTGATGTCCCGGCCTTTCATGGAGCCTTACCGAATGAGTCCTTAGAAGCTTGTCCCACTGAATAAATCCGTCTCTGTCAGGGACAGAAGTGTGGTAGGTGCACGGAAGGGTGGCACTCTTTCCCCTGGCAGCCCGAAGAACTTCCTGCGGGGTTTCCACAGAGATGGCATTGACGGTCACCCAGACTGGAAAGAAAGCAGGAAAGCCATGCAAAGGTAATGACGTGGACGTCACCAGGCACGGCATGGGATCTCTGCCAGAATGCCCAGCCCTCCTGTCCTGATGGCCTCAGATCCGGCTGCCACCACAGCAATGGTGGCCAAAGACCTCCACTGTCCTCCAGGGCAGGGAGGCCAGCGCCTGTGCCTGGTCCAGGCATCTCCACCCCGCAGCATCACGAAAAGGTTTGGTGCATCCGGTGGCCAAGCCTGGCTGCCACCTCAGCCCCACCTCCTCCCATCTCCACAGATTTTCTAAGCCTCATTTTCTCATCAGTAAAATAGGAGTCTTCATACTGACTTCCCAGAGTTGTTGGGGAAATGAGAAAAGAGACCGTGCATCCATGTTTCCTTGTGCCTGGTCACCGGAGACCTCGACACACATTGCTGGCCTCCCATGGGACGTCTTCGTCTCCTAACTGATGTGTGTGGTGAGAGTAAAGGGATGAGGGTGTTCCCGGGAGTGCCTTTCAATTCCATCTCTGCTGGTCAGGATCCAGCCAGCAGCCAGAGGGGGGACACAGGACGACACTGTCAGGCTCCGCTCGTCACTCCCATGCCAGCTTTACCATAGCTTGGCGCCAGCCCCCTGTAGGCATCTTGCAGTTCTCTCATGTATTCTCCCAGTTTCCTTGGCAGTAGAGACTTGTCACCCCTGCCACAGGGTCAGGGACGTCAAGCAATGTGCTCTGCTTAGCAGCTGACCCAGCCTCGACAGCCAGCACCTGGCCAGCAGGCAGCAAGGCCATCTGACAGGCAGCCCCAGAGGGCGGGACCACAGGATCCACCTCCTGTCCCAGAACTTCCACCTGCCTTCGTCCGTCCCCCGCGAATAGTTCATATGTGCCGACGGTGGGGACCAGGCCCCTGCTCTGCCCACCAAGAGGTCATCTCCCTGGGGCACAGTCTGTGGACATGAAATGGGCTCACACGAGGATTAATTCAGTGACCAAACTCCAAGGACGACTCTTGCTGGCAGGAGGGACACCAAGAAGCAGCTGGGAACTGCGGGGCAGCAGCGTCCACCGCTGGTCTGGACCCCTCGGCTCTCGGGCTTCACACACGTGGCAGAGGTGTCACCTCCAGATACAGGACACGCAGGGCTGAGGCAGCGAGCCTCACCTCCTGCAGGGCGGCCACCCTCTCCCCAGGCCCTCCCTCTTCTAACTCGGAAGCGCCCTTTGACCTTGTATCCCCTGGTCTGCGCCCCAGGGCGCTTATCACACGCCCCTCCCGGCCACTGGGGAAGTAGCGGCAGAGAGCTGAGTGCAGGGCTCCAGACCCTTCTCTGTTCAAAGCACAACCTTGGGCAGTCGACTTAGCTCTCTGTGCCACAGGGTCCTCACTTGGGGGTGGATTGTATGGGGACTAGGTGACATGAAACGCAGACTTCCTTTAGGGGTTCCTAACTCAAAATTGGCGCTCAGCAAATGAGAGCTGCTACTCCACAGCACACACCTCTCCTTCCCGGGCCGTGGGCTGCTGCCGAGGTGCCCCCTGGGTAGGAGTTAATCCCAGAAGACAATCACCCACCGCTGTCCCAGGTGAGCTCTCGAAAGGACTGGCAATTGCTAATGATGGTAACCAGAGAACAGATCCACCTTAGAGATCATGACAACAGTGAGTCAGGTCCTTGTATGCTAATAGATTTGCGAGGGAAGACAGGAATGGATGAGAAAGAGCTTCAAAGAAAAAAAGGAAAAGGGGCGAAGGTGGACTGTAAACCTGAGAAGGACGTTAGAGGACTGGTCCCAGCCCTGGGGCTCACTCACGCTCCCCACTGCCCCAGACAGGCTTAAGAACCTTGTGCCTCAGGCCACCTGGTTATCTGCCTGGTGGAACCTCAGCCCCTCCCGGGCTCAGACACTGCCCTTGCTCTGAGGTCGCTGGCGGTGACACAGGGGACCGACTTCTCCGCGATCCTAACCTGTTCCTTCACTTCTTCCCACAGGCCTCAGGACCACTGTCCCTCACTTTCTCTTCTGTGGGACATTTTGGTCCCCACTCGGATGTGCCAAAGTCACCAGGAGGGACAGGTGATCCATGACTGGAAAACTGGGAAGGAGGGAGATTCCTTTCTAGAAGCTTCCAACTGCCCCCTTTCTGCTTCCTTGTAGGGGGATGGTGGGGGCACCTTCCCACTGCCCAGAGCCACCTCCCCGACCCCGTCTGGTGCTGCTTCGACCTGCGCCCCTCCTGCTCCAGAAGTCTCCTTCCTACTCTGGGTCCCCTCTCTCCTTTTTTCCCACTCTGAGCCAAGTTGGTAGGTGCTGATGACCATCCTGTCCCCCCAGGGGCAGGTGGCCGGCAGAGCAGGGCCCGAGCTCCTCCTGCTACAGGGCTTGGTGGGGGGCTGGCCAGCAGCCTCCTCCAGGAGGCCCCTCACTCTCCCGTGGAGTCCTCCTCCTGTTCCTGGCTGTGTCGCTCCTCAGCCTCATTAACTTCTCTGTGCGCAGTTTCCTCAACAGTAAGGTAGGAGACCACGCCTCTCACTCGGGGTTGCTGCAGGGCAGGGCTGCACCTGGGCGGCAGAGCACCTGCCTGGCACCAGCCAGGGCCAGGCTCGGGTTCCCTCCCAGCGCTGGGAAAGGAAAGATGGAGGGCGCCGCCACCGAGCGGCTGTTTATCCCGGCCCAGCTCTGCTCTCCAGCTGCCACCCTGCGACTGCACCTCACCTGGCTCAGCCCAGGCTGGGCACGCAGGGGGGGCTGCAGCAATGCCCTGGGCACACAGGGGGGGCTCTAGCAATGCCCTGGGCACGCAGGGGGGGCTGCAGCAATGCCCCGGGCACGCAGGGGTGGGGGCTGCAGCAATGCCCTGGGCACACGGGGGGGGGCTGCAGCAATGCCCTGGGCACACAGGGGTGGGGGCTGCAGCAATGCCCTGGGCACACGGGGGGGGCTGCAGCAATGCCCTGGGCACACAGGGGTGGGGGCTGCAGCAATGCCCTGGGCACACGGGGGTGGGGGCTGCAGCAATGCCCTGGGCACACAGGGGGGGGGCTGCAGCAATGCCCTGGGAACGCAGGGGTGGGGGCTGCAGCAATGCCCTGGGCACGCAGGGGTGGGGGCTGCAGCAATGCCCTGGGCACGCAGGGGTGGGGGCTGCAGCAATGCCCTGGGCACGCAGGGGTGGGGGCTGCAGCAATGCCCTGGGCACACGGGGGGGGCTGCAGCAATGCCCTGGGCACACGGGGGTGGGGGCTGCAGCAATGCCCTGGGCACACAGGGGGGGCTGCAGCAATGCCCTGGGCACACGGGGGTGGGGGCTGCAGCAATGCCCTGGGCACACGGGGGGGGGGGGCTGCAGCAATGCCCTGGGCACACAGGGGGGGGGGCTGCAGCAATGCCCTGGGCACACAGGGGGGGGCTGCAGCAATGCCCTGGGCACACGGGGGGGGGGGGCTGCAGCAATGCCCTGAGCTTGCAGGGGGGGCTGCAGCAATGCCCCGGGCACATGGGGGGGCTGCAGCAATGCCCTGAGCTTGCAGGGGGGGCTGCAGCAATGCCCTGAGCTTGCAGGGGGGGCTGCAGCAATGCCCTGGGTAGCCTAGGAAGGAGCCACAGGGAACTAGGCTGAGGGAGTGTGGAGCTCGCCACCGGAAACGAAGATCCCAAGGACTCCTGGAAAATACCTCAATGAAACAGAGGACCCGAGGAGCTCGAGAGGGGACATGGAGTGTGCCAGGTGCCCCAGACACAACAAGAGTCACCTAACCACTTGAGGAGGCAGGGAGTGGAGGCCCAGCTTGAGGCCTCCACAGTTGCTTGTAAATAATTAAGGTTTGTTAAGAAGATAGTAAACTGTCTCTTGAGACCAAGCAGAAAGGAGTACCTCGAAGGAGGATAATGAAACGCTCGACAGACTGGCTGCTTGAGGCCTCCACAGCACATTAGGGGGCCCTGGGGAAACGGCCAGCAGGGCCTCCATCAGGAAGATCCATTTGTTCAGAGAAACCACTTCCTCGGCTAGGGAGGAGATGCTGAGGCCAGGTGGGACCAGCGGCCCCAGAGCTAGACGCAGGCTCTGGCGCTGCGAAGAGCTCTCCAGGGAGAAGCAGGCAGGTGTGTTCTGCATCCCAGGTGGAAAGTCCCCAGGGGCTCCCAAGCCGGCAGCCGAGGGACAGTGAGAGGGTCAGGGACTGGAGGCTGAACAAGCCCGTTGAGATGTTGATCGACACGGATCTTTAGGATCCACAAATTAGATCAATTCAGTGAATTTCTTCCCAGGTCCTAGCTTTGGCCCCCTGCCCAGAAAGCCCCCAGGACCGCTCGGCCCTCACTGCAGCCCACTCTTCTGAACTGCGTCAGGCCGCACGCATCGCCCATGGGTGTGACTCTCAGGCCATGTGGGTCTGTGGGTACAGGTGGCATGTCCCTCTGTGCCAGCTCTGTGCCCCAGACTTCTCTTGAGCCCCCCACTTGCTGGCTCAACCCCAAGTTGTCTAGGCAGAGCTGGGGGCCTATTAGTCCTGGTGAGTGAGTGACCTGGGCACAGTCCCTGCCTGGGAAGCAGCCAGAGGTCACCATCAGCAGCAGCCTCACCAAGTGCTCCCCACGAGTGTGAAGGGGGCAGAGTCCAACAGAAGGCTCCCTAGAGCTGGGCCTTGGCCTGGCCCCGGGCTCAATGCACCGTGTCAAACTGGTGTAGATGAGGAGTGAAGCCGGCTGCAGAGCCGTCTCAACACCACCAACCCCCACAGAACAAACCCAGGGTCAGTAAGCCATCCTTGGGTTGGGGACCGCGGCACCCTGGGTCTCTGCCTGGAGCGCTTTACTCCCCACACGCTCCGCAGTGAACGCACAGTACTCTTGTGGCCTCGACGCCAAGCAGGAGGTGAAGACCAGGAGACCTGGGGCCTCCTTGGTGTCAAGAAGCTCGCGTGACCCGGAAGGTGACAAAGCTGAAACCAGGGGCTGTGAAGGGCCTTGAAGGTCCTTAAGTCCCTCAAACTAAGATGGAGAGCC